AAACAACATATATATTCAGACACACTTAACTAAGAAAATGGATCACCTACCAACACAAGCATAGCCCATTACCCTGATTTGTCCTGTAAATCCAAAGCAATACCAAAACCACCATAACAACTGAAAGGGCCAGCATGGATGCCCACAACCCTCGTGTTGATAGCTCGATTGGCCTACATTGGCGCGTCACAATCTCAGAAAATGCTTCTTTGATGGACGTGCATTTCATTAGGCTCGATAAATCGGGATATATATTTATAAAATCCTGCATTGATTGGCTATATGCCAAAGATACCGTGTACATGGATTCAGGGAGAAATCTCCCTTCTTCTTGACAATTTCCGGAGGTATTATTCGCTTCATAGCATACGAATATTGATAGAACCTGCACAAAAATGTTATTATGAGCTACTAAAAAGTAGGTGCTAATGACAGAAAAAAAAAGAAAAAAAATAAAAAAATTTGAAGTCTATCTGCATATATAAAATCACTTACTCTAGGTAAATCTCCAATTGGGATAGAATTTTCTGCACAACTTTGAAGTGAAAAACTATCATTTATTGAAGTAGAGAACGGATCGCAAACTTCCACGACCGGAATGCCTTCATATTGTTCATTTGATTCAATAACTTCTCGAATCTTCCAGTTTATCTGAAGAAGATAGAAACAAAAAATGAAAAGAAAATTAAATATAAAGTTAGGTAGTACTTATGAGAGCATAATGTAACTTAGCTAGGATTTTGCACGTTTCAATAAAGTGCAGTGTGTACCTCATTTATAAAAGCATGAATGTTGTCAATAATCTTCTCTAAGGTTTGGACAGAGTCCGTGGATTTCGGGCAGGGAAGCATGTTGCCCAGGCTGTTCGTTTGAGGGTCGATTTCGTAATTCTTCAACACCAAACAAGTATCCCCAATAAAACTGTATTATCGATGCAAATTAATCGTGTTAATACAAGAGTAATGAAAGAGTTCGTAAATCAAACTAACGAACACTTACGTGTGAAACAAGAAATCGACGCCGGTTAGAATCCAACCTAGAGTTGTTAGAATCCAGCAGGTAAAGATTAAGCTGAGAGAAACATAATTAACATCAGAAGAGTTTAAAAACTAAATAAAAGGAAAAAAAATGGATAATTATGCGCCACTTACACATTAATACCAGGACGAAATTGGAAACGGAGCAGAACTGGCCAAAGCAGCAATCCATTAGTCTAATAACATGTTTTTGTCACATGAAACTAAAAAATTACAATGCAAAAAAGCCAAAAAAAATAAAAATAAAAAATATGATGTTGTATATCATTAATCGAGAATTTATCAATTGATCAAGCATTTGAGAACGAAACTCACCTAATCCAGCAACCAACAATACCAAGTCGACCGAAACGACCACAAGATTCATCACGTATCTAGCAATAAACTAGGAAATTGACTCATTACTGTTGATTCATGAGTTGAGATTAGAGATGATGTGCAAGTAAAAAAGCACTTACAACGTTTGAATGGCTTGGTCCCATGTTTTCAAGTTATTTCGGATAAAACTCTGTATGCTTAGTGATGTTTTCCTTAGGCGGTGTGTGGTCAAGTTGAGCTGGTTGCAAATATCCGAGTTGTATGGTTGCAGCAAAGCCTGCATTCGTAGCATGGCGGCTTTAACTCTGCCTATGCTATTTGAAGCTTCATTTCCCGCATCACGTATAGTTTCTTCAAGCTTTTGAGCCTTCTTTAGTGTCTTCTGGTTTTCGGCAATTGTTAAACCGCTTGCAACTCTGTTAACAATTTAACATCACCATAAACTAAGGAAATTAGTTTTCAAACAAATCGCAACACATATAGTTCGTAGCTAAATCTTTGTGATCACAAAAGTGTAAACACATATTTCAAATGAAAGCTTACATGGCAAAACTAGTAATTACAAGAAGCAACAAGAGTACGATAAGGTTTGAGGAACTTGAATGATCCATAATTGTTGATGGGCTTCGTTTGATACTCTTTATAACAATAAAAAGCACAAGGCCGAGACCGCACAATAACCAAATCCCTGCCACTGCGTAACCATGAATTCCTGTAAATGCCGTAGACTGAAAATTTCAAAAAAAAGAAAATGTAAAAGATAAATATGACATTGTGAAATACATATAACATGTAACACAAGAAAAAAAAAATCGTAGTAAATGAAAATATGGATATATATACGAGTTGAACAAAGACTATCTATATATATATATATTAACTTACGGCCCAATAATGTTTGCTGCTAATATCATAATCTCCATCGTAATGTCTGAACTTCCGTAGAGGGTCGGGCCTTCTTGAGATCCGGCCCGTGATGGATGAGGCGTACGCTAGAGATTTCTCAGTAAATGGGGTGATGAATAATAAGATTAGCAATAAAGAGATTGTATTTTGATGATCATTTGTTTTGACATTGTTTCTCATCTGATGATCTTGATTTCTAGCATATATTTAATTTGAGAACTAAANTGTCTTAAAAAGGATTAGTTAATATACAAGGGAAGTCTTTAATTCTGGGAAAAAAAATGAAACTTTAGAGGGAAAACGAAGGGTGAAAAATGAATTGCCTGACTTGCTGATTAAGGTTAGAATAGCTTGTGCCCTCAATATTCGTAACTAACTTTTGTTTGTTTTAATTAACTCATGCCCAAAGCTAAAAACAAGTTACGTCCGTACTTTCTAAGAGCATGCATCTCGCGCCAAGTGTTCCATTTGACATTTTTTCACTATCATCCGCCTATATATTAATTGAGAACGTGTTGAGCCTATGTGGCAGGCTCGCATATTTCGGGATTCTATGTGACAAAATTACATGCTTCGTTATTAGACTTGGATAGTTTTAATTTAGGTTCGGATTATCTATAAATATGTTGATTATTTATGGTAGGAGTGGGCGCGGTTCGGGACGATCCTGGATTTAACTTGTCCGGATACCCATCACACTTATGAATCCGTCGTCCCGAATGAGGCACCGTCCCCACCCATGTAATACATGGGTGTTGTACTAGTTTATATATATACAAGAGCAAAGTGCACGTGGTAGTGCATGCTTTTTACCAATTAAATTTATTTAAATGAATTAATTTATTTATTAAACATAACATTACAAGAACGGAATAAAATATAGAACAAATGAGCTCATAATTTATTTTTATAAATAACATAATGTATTTACAAGTGGGATTTCGGTTGTGTTGTGCACAGCCGAACCCAAATTTAATTATAATTGCTGGTGTAATTAAGAAAATGGTGAATTATAGATTATGTTAAAAACTTGTTTTCATTTGTACATGTAGATGAAGTGAAAATTACTTTCATAATTCTCTCGAGTGAGAACCATATTCTCTCGGCTGGCATTTCCCTTTCTTCTATTTGTTTCGATTCGTTCTGTAATTTTATGGTCGTTGAGGGAAGTGTTTTAGCAATGGATTCCAAGAATAGAGGTAGCCCTTTGTAGGGGAACGAGGAAGCAGATCTAGAGAGAAGGTTAAAGAATTTTTCTTTATTGGAAGCGGAAAATTCAATTGTTCATATTGGAAGGGAAGATATCAAACTCAGTGAAGATGAGTGCAGAAGGAGCTTGTTCGGGAAAATCATCGGAGATAGGAAGATGAGTTTATTTGGCCTGAAAAGAACGATGGAAAATATTTGGAGGATCTAGAAGGCCGTGGAGATTAGGGAACTAAATCCAAATTTTTTTCAATTCATCTTTGAGAATGAGGAAGATCTGAAGAAGGTGCCATCAGGTACTAATTAGATTTTTAAGACTCAATATCTGGTCTTACATGGATGGCTGGAATGTATTAGCGACAATCACCGTGTTTCCGTGAATTGCATCTATGGGTTCATATCTATAATATTCCGCTAGGGGAGCGACTTCCGATCCATTGAATCCAAAGAGTGATGTATGTAGAGGCGTAAGTTCAATGTCGAGTTCCATCCTTCTTAGGCATTCATAGAAAATCACGTTTACAGAACTTCCGGTGTCGACAAACACCCTTTGCACCTCGTATCCTGATATCTGTGCGGTTATCATCAAGGCATCATTGTGTGGTCTCTCGACTTCCCCCACATCCGCGGGTCCAAAACTCATCGCTGGCCCACTCTCGTCGACCTGCTGCACCTCGACTTTCGTGTATCGGCCTCGAGCGTATGCCTTCCTTGCTCGATTGGAATCTCCGTCTGTTGACCCTCCAAAAATCATGTTAATTACCCCCCTCTTTGGTGGGAGCTCCTCCTTTTCTGGTGATCTCGCCCTCTTGCGAGGACTCTTACTTCTTTCTCGCCTCCTGCTTGACCTCTCGCGATCTTTGTATATGAACTCCTTCAAGTGGCCTGCCTTTATCAACCTCTCAATCTCGTCTTTCAGGTGTCGGCAATCGTCAGTGTTGTGCCCGTAATCTTTGTGGAATCGACAATATAAGTTGCTTTTGGGCTTCATCGGTCCATCCTTCCTTGTCCGCGGCCATCTCACCACATCGTCGCGGATCTCCCTTTCCATTACTTCCAGAATTTTTGCGTGAGGGGCTGACAGGGGTGTGTATTGAATCGGCCTCCATCCTCTAGATCGTCCTTCACCCCTATCAGCTCGCGGTGATCCTCTTCTTTCTCCTGTCGACTGGCTCTTCTTTTTCTTTTTGTCGTCTCGACCATCAGTTTGGGACATTTTCATGCTTTGCAAGTAGTCGGCCTCTGCTTCTTCGACATTCATATACTTGGCACACCTCTCCAAAACGTCATTACATAACCCTGGTAGGAGTCCTCTCGTCAGTCCTCCTGATTTGATTTCCTCTGTTGCCGTTGGGCACTCGACACACGCCTTTGTAAACATCGCCACATACTCTCGCAACGACTCGCCCTTCTTCTGCTGCATGCTAATCAACGAGAGGTAAGACTTCTCTTGCACCCTTACACTTGCAAATTGGTTAAGAAAACTCGAGCTGAAGCCATCGAAATCCTTAATCGACCCAGCGGGTAACTGGTGAAACCAGTCTTGGGCCGACCCTGTCAGAGTCGTCAAGAAAGCGCGACATTGCACTGGGTCGCTGTAGCGGTGGAGCACTACCATATTTTCGAAACTCCTCAGATGTCGAGACGGGTCAGTGGAGCCATCATACCATATGTTCAATTCCCTGAAGCCTTTAGGTAAGTCGGCTCTCAGGATCTGCAGCGAGAATGGATGTTCTTTTGCTCCTCTGTTCTTCTTCCCCCTGACTCGAGCCTGCAAGTTGCGGACCTGGGCCAGCAACTGTTCCAACATCTCGTCACTCGCTTGCGGATTGATAGTTCGAATGGAGGTTTCCTCCTCGTCCACCCTTCTGTTCTGCTGTATGTTTGACTGAGCTTGTTATTCGACATGAGGTTGTTGCTCGACCCGAGGCGGGTACTCGACACGAGGCTGCTGCTCGACCTGCACCACCTGCTTCATCTGGGCGGCCACGGCTTCAGCATTTCACTCCTCGTCAATGTCAAGGTCTGCTCCTCGACGCGGGGTTGTGTCTGCTCCGGTACCTCCTGTATCTGCTTTTTCTCGCGTCGAGACATCTCCGTTGGTTCCTTCTCTCCATCTGGATTAGGGTTTTGACTTGTTCCTGCCTGGGTCAACACTTGCAGCTTCACTCCGGTTGGAGTGACGGGAGTTTCTCCACCCAACGTCAGCCCCGGTGGTAGAGGTCCTCCAAATGGTGGCATCCCCATCATCTGCATCATTGGGTGTTTAGGGGCGGAGTGTGGTGGTGGCCTCTTGTCCATCTATGCTCCCCTAAACTCCTCGTTCAGGTTCCTTTGCAAACCTTCCTTCTCCGCCATTAGCAAACAGATCGGAGCTAGGTGCAAAGCTCTTAGTTCCTTCAAAAGCTCCCCACAGACGGCGCCAATATGATGGGTCTACTTCCAGATCTAGAGTAAACCGGTGGATTTGAGCTCAGATCTGCTTGAACCGCCTCTGAATCGTTGCTAGACCGCGAGATACCTGCAAAAACTCAACGCCGGAGGTGTTTCTTGTAGAGCCTCCGACGCTCAAGTCAGTATGAGAGAGATGTAGTGAGACTGTGCAGCAGCTATGGGGGAATGTGGAGAATCAATGAAAGTTAGGGTTTGGGGTTACCTCACCTCCTTTATATAGGAATGAATACTTACTTGAAGTACGCAGAATGCCCAAGTCGGTGGACCTAAAAGGTCTAAAATGCCCCGGTCGGTTCGTCTCCCCTTGCTGCTGAGTCATCACAAGATTCCTTCTTATCCTTTGGAATATGTAAAGCTTTAAGTATGTTGCAAGTATGATGAGTCGTCATCACATCTTTGATCTTCGAGATATACAGAGTCGACCTTGAGAGCTAGGAGGTCGACTTGTGATCATATGAGGATTCGGAGGCTACGCTTGGTTAGTTCCCTCGAGTGAAAGTCGTCTTCAGAGAATCGTCTTAGTGAAGTCGACTACTGGGAGTCGACTTAGAATATCTGGATGCTCAGAAGCTATGCTCTTGTTGTTCTTCTTATACAGATGTCGACTAATGGAAGTCAACAGACTGAGGTCGACTTGTGATAGTCGACTGGACAGATTTCTGCCCCTTCCTGGTCGCTCTTTGCAGAGTCGACTTATGGAAGTCGACCTGAGCATTTCGACGGGGTCATGTCGATATGCGAGTAGTTCGAGCGATTCACCGGTCGGGTAAGTAGCCTCTGGACCGGGTTATCCTTATGTGGCTATATCAGCTACTGTTCTCATAATTATAAAAGACGTCATGACTTTCTCCCCAAATAAAATAATCTAGAAGTTGACCCTTCAAAAAACTCATTTGCAGCTTTCAAAGCTGAATTCGCAAAAGAAGAATTCTCACAGCTTCCTACGACCAGCCAAAGTTCCTGTCTGACCCTAGGAACCTAAGGGCTCTTGTTGATACACGATTTTTTTTCGACCTAAAATCAAGGCCCCTAAAAATATTATGACGCAATCATTATCAACACATACGATCTCCCCAGAGTTTGGATGCCCATGATTACTCTAGCCAAGGAGAAAGACGCCGACCTCGAAGATGCCATCCAGCAATGTGTCGACCTCATTCCCAGCTACGAGACAGACATGACGACCTCTTTCAAAAACGAGATCATTTTTCATAGCCAATCTCAGTACGTCCGAGCTCCATCCTAAGCTAATGCAAAAAGAGTTATCACCCTGAACCAGTTCCCACAACCCAGAAAGATAAACCGCTTGTCCAAGTAGGGAATATTGCTTGCAAGTTGTCGAATATGTGTCACCATGCAGCAATCATAAGCCTCCACGTGTCCCGAAGAAATAATATTATAAAGACATCCCCTTCTATAAATAGAGGGATCCAAAGGCCTTGAAGATCATCCTTTTTTACTTCCATCTCCATTATATATAAAATCCTTTATAGTTAAGATTTCAGCTAATTTCTCTTTAT